ATCAAGCACCGTCAGTGAGATGGTTGGGAGTGGAGTAACGGGTCTGGTATACAGCCCGGGGACAGGCAGAAGCTGTCTCTGCTGCACAAGCGCTGATGTATGCAAGTGCGGGCTGGCTCAAGCAGGTTGGGGCTGGCTCAGCAAGGCTCTCTGAACGGCTGACAGCTGGCGGCTGGCTGCTGATGTGCCAGCAAAGGCTGATGTGCAAGCAAAGGCTGTTGTGCAAGCAAAGCCAGGCGCAGGCGGCGCTTAGGGTTGGTCTTTGGTCTTTGGGGCGGGGCGCAAGGGCCGTGGCGTGGGGCGCAAGGTGCCGGTGCGCGGGAAGGGCGTCTGGGGTGACGGCAAGAGCGGGTGCCGGACTCAAGGGCAGCGGAGGGGACTGGGGCCCATAACCTGTTGACGGGAGGTATTTACAAAGGCAGCAAGTGTAGTAAATTCGCACTAGAGGCGGCGTTAAATAGATCTGGGGTGGAGGAGCATATTCCCGGCATATACTTGGGATATTCCTGATACGATGCGGGTACGATGCGGCACAAAGGCATCATGGTATCGGTGAGCATAATGGCTGGGTCAGGTGCACGAAAGGGAGTGGCACAAGTGTCTATCAACTGGGAATGGGGTGGGGAAACACAATTGTGCGGTGTCTGGGGCGGGAAAGGCGGGAATGAGGGTATCAATGCAGCGGATGTGTAGACTGGACACGTGGCATTGTCACAGCTCAACAGTCTGGGGCGGGAAAGGCGGGAATGAGGGTATCAGTGCAGCGGATGTGTAGACTGGACACGTGGCATTGTCACAGCTCAACACGAACCTTGTCCAGCAGGGTGCGGTTGAGGCGCTCGGCCGCGCCGTTCTGCTCCGGGCTGTAGCGAACGGTGGTCTCCAGCATGATGCCCTTCGATGCACAGAAGGCCTTCAGCTCTTGGTTGATGTACTCGGAGCCGTTGTCGCAGCGCAGGCGCCGCACGCGGGTGCCGCCTTGAGTCTCCAGCTGGGTGATGGTTGCCTTGACGGCCGCAGCCGTCTCGGACTTGTGTGCCAGGGTGTGCACGGTGGAGGACTTGGTGTAGTCGTCCAGGATGGTCACGAAGTACTTGCTGCCTCCCAGGGAGGTGACAGGCAGCGGGCCGCACACGTCGGTGTGCAGCAGCTCCAACTTGGGGGAGGCGGCGCTGTCGCCGCTCGCCTTGAACGGCGCACGCTGCGCTTTGTCGAGGGCGCAGGGCTCACACGGTGGCCCGGCGCCTGCCGCCTTGAAGTCGTTGGCGGTGGTGGCGATGCCGGTGACCATGTCCTTGGTCTGAAGGCGCGCCAGGTTGTCGTAGCCCAGGTGGCCGAAGCGCTGGTGCCAGAGTTGGGGGCTCTCCTTGGAGACGCGCGCCACGTGGGCCTGCTCGGCCCGGCCCGTCAGGGTGTAGACTGAGTCGCCGTGGCAGGGCGCGGTGGCCAGGACCTGGTCGCCCTGCCAGATCTCGCAGGCGTCGGCCATGAACTTGAAGCTCAGGCCACGCCGCGTGGCTTGCCGCACGGAGAGCAGTTGCTCGGCGGCGCCTGGGACGTGCAGCACGTCGCGCAGGATGAAGGGGCCGTTGGGCGTGTGCAGCAGCACGTGCCCGGCAGTGGTGGCTTTGCCAGTGCCGCCGTTGCCAAAGGTGATGGTGATGGCCTCCTTCAGCAGGTAGGGGTCGAGCAGAACAGAGGAGTCGTGAGTAAGGTGGCAAGATGCACCGGTGTCTAGCACCCAGCGTTGCGAGCTGTCACTGCCCTGGCTGGTGCTGCAGCTGCTCCGGCTAATGTTGTGGCTGCGCCGGCTGATCCTGTTCTGGCTGCTCCACCTGGTGTTGAGGACACCCCCCCGTCCGCTGCTGGGTGGCCCCAGGCACGGGGGCCCTGCTGAGGCTGACAGGGCAATGGCAGCGGCAAACCGCTGGTGCGGGCGCTGCTGCTGGCGGCGTGGGCGCTGCTGGTCTGCCCGCCGCTGCTGCTGCTGCTGGCTGCGCTCCTGCGCCAGCTTCCTACACTCAAACTTGTGGTGCCCCAGGATGCCGCAATGAAAGCAGGGGCCCTTGGACTTGCCACCGGGGTGGTTGCTTGGACGGCCCGGCCCGGCGTGGCGGTCCTGAGCGTTGGCCATCAGCGCCTCTTCGCTGGGGCGCTCTGTCTTCTGCTCGCTGTGCTCCACGGTGAGCAGCTTGGGCAGGATGTCATCCAGGCTCAGGTCCCCGTCGGTGGTGGCAGTGATCACGGTGGCCATCGTTGCGTAAGCAGACGGCAGGCCGGACATCACGGACCAGGCGATCTCGGTGTCTGCCACATCCTGGCCGGCAGCGCGCAGCTGGGCCTGGATCTCCTTGGCACGGGACACATAGTTGGTCAGGGGCTCGGTGGCGCCCATCTTCAGCTGGCTCAGCTGCATGCGTAGCTGCAGCTTGCGCGCGTTGCTCTTAGCTTGGTAGACTCTCTCCAGCTCCATCCACGCTCGCTTGGCGGTGCCGCAGCGCTCCAGCGTGGACAGGTGGTGCTCCTTCACGTACAGGCCGATGGTGGCCAGTGCCTTCTGGTCAGCTTCATGCTCGACCGTGTCGCTCTCCACAGCGGCCCACAGGCCCTTGGAGATGAGGACATACTTCATCAGGATCCGCCAGGTGGCATAGTTGTCCACGTCCAGGCACTCAACCACGGGCTTGCTGGCTTCCGCAGCCATGGTGAGGGATGAAGGTACAAAGGGGAAACTTCCTTGGGGTTCAGTTGGGGCAGCGGGGGTTGGGGCCCATAACCTGTTGTGAGAGAAGGGCTTTACACCAGACTGCAGAGGGCAGTCACTGAGGAAGGGCACTAGGAGAGAATGACAAACAAGGCGAAATGCAGGGGATTATATGCATGCATGGGAGAATGGCCAGATGGCGGGTGCCTGCCAGATGTCGCCGCCAGCTGGAGGGTGCTGACAGATGGCATTGGGTCGGGGGAGTTGACCGTTGGGTTTTGCCAGCTGGCGCGGGTGTGGGGCACGTGGCTTTCGGTTTGGCCATCTGGCTTTCGGTCTGGCCGCGTCCCAACGCGGTGGGTGCTGTAGGTGAGCAGGCTGGACAGCTGGCGGGCGCTGGTGCAGCCAGGTGGCCCGCCGTCCAACACTGCCCTTCTCCCAACCAGCACATCACTTGCTTGAAGTCTATGTATGACCCCAATCGCCGTATCGCCCTCACTCGCTTTAGAACCAGTTGCCATGACCTTCGCATCGAACGGGAACGCTATTTGCCAAGGGCCATCCAGGCCCCCACCCATGAACGCACCTGCCTCTTGTGTGCGTCTCCCGCCATTGAAGACGAGACCCATATGGTTTTCCACTGCCCCATTCACGACCATCTGCGCTTTGAGTACGCAGATCTCTTCCCCCCTGATTTGCCCACATCCATCCCATGCTTTTTGTCCCAAGACCAGAATAGAGTTGCTTCATTTATCAATGACTGCCATGTTTTACGCCGCCGCAATGCGTGTATGAGCCTCGCTGGCTCCGAATCCGCTCTGTAAGTCAAGTCAAGTCAAGAATCCGCTCTGTAAGTCGAGTCGAAGTCGAGACCCCCTGCTGCCAGCCGTGCTGTCATGCCACACCCATGCCTCTCGAGACCCCCCCACCTGACCTCCCCCACTATTACACATCCCTTGAAGTGCCAGTGGAAGCTCAGGGCCATCCTGCACCCCGGCATGGCACAGCACAACTTCTGCGGTGGCGGCGTGGAGGCTTGCCGCTGCCAGCTTGATGTCGCTGCCCGAGCGGCACCGCATGCTGCCCAGAGCTGGTGTGAGCTGCTGTGCTGGTGCCATCTGGTCAGGGGCTCGGTAGTGATGTATATGACAGCCTGGGATGCTGAGTTGGTGGGTAGCATGCAGGTGGGAGCTGGCCTGAGCATTCCAGCATGGCTGGTGGCAGGGGGTCTTGCTGCGCCGCCGCCGCCGCCATGCCGCCACCGCAGAAGCTGTTGTTGTGCCATGCTGGCTTGCAGGATGGCCCTGAGCTGCCACTGGCACTTGACTTGACTTGACTTACAGAGCGGATTCGGAGCCAGCGAGGCTCATACACGTATTGCGGCGGCGTAAAACATGGCAGTCATTGATAAATGAAGCAACTCTATTCTGGTCTTGGGACAAAAAGCATGGGATGGACGTGGGCAAATCAGGGGGGAAGAGATCTGCGTACTCAAAGCGCAGATGGTCATAAATGGGGCAGTGGACAGCCATATGGGATTCGTCTTCAATAGCAGGAGAAGCACAGAAGAGGCAGGTGCGTTCATGGGTGGGGGCCTGGATGGCCCTTGGCAAATAGCGTTCCCGTTCGATGCGAAGGTCATGGCAACTGGTTCTAAAGCGAGTGAGGGCGATACGGCGATTGGGGTCATACATAGACTTCAAGCAAGTGAGGTGCTGGTTAGGAGTGGGGCAGGCCGCCGCGAATGTGCGTTGGTGTCCCTGCGTTGGTGTCCCCATAACCAATGTGTAAAGAGCATATCCCCCCCCAAAACAGGGTGCGCGGCCTGCCCTTGGACAGGTAACTACCCGCCTTGGTTGCTTGTATGTCTTGCCGTGCTGTACGATCACATGCCTATACTACATTAATACATTGATGCCTCTGCTGTCTCTCGTCTTTTATGTTTTTGATGGATCGTTGCGCCGTGGTATTGCCTTTTTGCGCGGTGCCTTGCTTGCCTGTGCTGCCATTGTCTCGCATGTTGTTGTCGTTTGCGGGGCGGCGCCGGCGGCTCAGGGCCCCCTGCTGCCAGCCGTGCTGCCGTCGTTGACCTGTTTCCCTTTTCACCCCAGCCTCGTGCTTCCCGTTCTGAACCCCTTGCACCCCCGTTGCCGCCCTGCCCTGATTCCTGTCACGTATGTTGCCCCGCTTTGGTTTTGTGGAGTCCTCCGTTCCCCCGCTCTCCTCTAGCCTTCCCTGGTCCTCACCCCTTGCTCCCCCACCACACACTCTGCCTTGGAGTCTTTTGTTTCTAGCTGTCTCTGGCACCCCTCCGCCTCCTGCTTCCTCCCCCACCACACTCTATGTCTTGACGTCTGTTGTTCCTGGCTGTGCATCTTGCTTTTGCTGCCGCGGCATGCCCCCTCTTGCCGTGGCCCTAGCTGGCTCCTGCCGCCCCCATCAGCGGTGTCTGTTTCTCCTCCTTGTGTTACCTGCCCCTGTTTCCTTACTTTTAGGGCCTTTCAGCCATTTCCACGCTGCATTGGGTCGGGACATATCATAACCAATGTGTAAGAGGATATCCCGAAGAAAGACAGATCAAGGCACCACATGTCCTGATGTTGATGCGCCGGTCGCCCGTGAAAGCATCCCGCTGCCAAACACAGTGCCACGCTGCATCCAGCCTTGCAAAGAGGCAGCTACTCCAGTACTGCTGCTACTTGCAGTTCCTTGATGGCCCCCTCCTTCTTGGGCCAGTGCACTGTAGCCATCTGCTGAGGCAGCAAAAACTGGGCGCATGCACTTCCGGTACCCACCAGCCAGAATATGCGCGCCGTCTGCACACATGAAGGGAAGAAATGTTTCAACAGGCACCCAGTGCGCTGCAACCTCTTGTCCTTTGAGAGCATGAATCGGCCTCCAGAATACGGCCATGCTTCCTAATTGTCGCACCTGCAGCCACCACGTTGTTGGCGCACTTGAGGATGGACAGCTCTGCCCCGCACGCTGTCAACAGCCCCACCAGTATGCCCTGCATCGGTAACAACAGTTTGGATGTGAATGCATGCCACAGCGGCGGTGCTGGCAGCGGCAACGGAAGTGCTGGCATCACGCGCTGGCTCTGTAATACCTTGAAGTCTCCCCATTGGTCCTTGCCATACTGCTGCATAATGATGTCCGCAATGTTCTTCAGTGGAACCTGGCCGGCCATGCTGCCGATCACCTCCTCCAGGAACCCTGCCAAATGGACAAGCAGACCGGCAGCGTGACAAGAGCAGCCAAACACTCGCTGATGCGGGACAAAAACAGGGCACAACGTCTTGCTCACCGGTAAACAGCTCCTGCAGCAGTTCCAGCTGCCACCTCTGCTGCCTCAAAGCATCAGTGGCAACAGGCTGTTGCTGTTGCTGTTCAACCAGCTGGCTTTCCTCCTGTTGCAGCTCCCGCAACAAGACCACGTAGCACTGAAGCACCTGCGGGAAGGACAGGCACTGATAAAGCTTGGCCAAGGACAACGGACACTTGTTGTCTTGCAAGTATCAGAGTTTCCAGGGCGGCATATCCTTGTGAGTGTGCACCTGAAACCAGAGCTGCTGCAGCGGGTCCGTTGTTGCCTGCTCCGCGATGCCTAACACGGCTGCCGTCTCATACTCCTGGTACAAGCTGGCCGTGGAGGAAGAGTCTAGCGCTACACGATCCTGGGAATATCTGCAGCAACCGCAGAAGATCAAAAACAGGAGTCAATGTTGAATGCAATACAACATACAATGCAATGGCCATGGCCAACTGTCGATCAGTCTTGCCTGAGGCACATGGCCACTGCACTGCTCAGGGCATTCCGTGCTGCCTGCAGCTCTGGAGGCGCGGGCAAGCTGCTCTCCAGTAGTGTAGCTGCGGCAACAGCTGCTGCAGCATTGCCGCTCGAGCTAGGCAGGGTGGGTCGGCGCCCGCGCATCAGTGCTACAGGCCCCGTCGGCCTAACAACAGCCAACTTGCGAAGCCCAGAGGTGCCATCTGTTGCTGCAGCGATGGCAGCTGCAGCTGCACCGGCCAGATCCAAGTGTCGAGTACGCACTGCCCATGCTAGATAGCGGTTAGCCTTGTCAAGGTTCTGGATGTGGATGCTCAGCGCACTGTGCACGTCGCCGCGTCGCTCCAACAAGAAAGCGGCACCATCCTGTAGAACATAGGCATGACGTAGAGGTTGACTTGGAGCAGATCGATCCAGATAGTTCTAGCCAGGAGACTGGCACCAACATGCACTTGCAGGTAGGCAGCCAACATTCGCAAGAAGCACCTGGATGCCATGGCGCAAGCAGTGTTGCAGGCATTCGTCCACCCCGTAGGCATCGTGGGTTTGAAGATATGCCAGCACTGCAGTCGAGGTGCAAGGCAAAGATGCACAGGACGCACAGATCTTGGAGCTGAAGCATTGAGAACAAGTTGCGGCCTCCAACATGACCGCCAGCTGCCCTGCCATTCCCCATGCACAATCCCACCTGATTGCGGCTCATACTGGCAAAGCAGCCTGAGGTACAGGTTGGCCACCCCCATGTCGCCCAGGAGCGCACTCAAGGCTGGGGATTGGCTGCTGGTCTGCAGGCGGCAACCAGACTCGGAAAGGCTCATGCCAGCCATCAGGCAGAAAGTAAAGGGCAGGATTGAGCTGATGTGGCACCACAAGGCCAGCGCATGTCATGCCCAGGCAGGCTGCCAATAAACCACCCACCTTCAAAGGGGTATTGCTACTGCCATTGATGCCGCCTTGTTGCTGGCACTGTTGGATGGCCAGCAGGCTCTTCAGGAAGGAAAACTGCTGATCCGGGTGCTGTTCAAGCTGGGCCAGCAGTGCCTGCTGCCGCTCGGGGAAGCAATCCAGCATCAGCTGCACTTGAGGAGGTGCGAGAGATGCGGCAGCATGAGGTGACCAGGCATGCGCAATGCACCACTCCCATCAACCCTGAAGGGGAGCAGCTCTCAGCCGAGCCTTCAGCTCCCAGCCGAGGACTCACCTGGCTGGCAGAAGCAGCATCCAGCAACAACAGTCGAGGCGCCAGGCGCAAGGTGGCCGCCTTGAAGGCGTCACGCTGCTGCTGCGTCAGTTTCGGCTCAGCCAGCACATCCCGAATATACTTGAAGGCTGCAGCCGGGTGCCTGCGGGAAGTGCCCAGCCGTGTACGTAATCATAAAGCAGGATGGCATGGAGAGCCTTATGTAGCGTGCGAATGCGGCCACAGCAGCCGAACCAGCTTGCCTGGGGTCGCTGGCCAAGCAGACAAGCGCCTCTGAATGTGCGCCCTCTGCATGGTGCACACGCGCCTCTGCTTGCCTGAATCCCACCCGCCTCGCTAGAAAGATGGCCTGAAGTAGCAAAGTGGTGCAGAAGCATCAGGAGCAGCAACAGGCAGCGCAGCAGGTCAAATTCGCCAGGGCTGCGGCTCTTGCAATCAGGCACACCAGCTTGTGTGCAGCACCCACCTGCTGCTGGTCCACGGGGGTCATGCTGCTGCCGGCTGCCGACACAACGTCACAGAACACTGCCTCGCGCTCTTCCTCGCACATGTCACCAGCTGTTCCTGTTCCATCTGGCGGCGGTGCTGCTAAATGGCGCAGCACTCGCAGCAGCATGCCACCTGATACACATGCACGGTTGGAAGCCAGGTGTGCCGCCAAAAACTGTAGCGCCGCCGTCTCGGCCATGGGTGTTGTAGAGCCAGCTGATGCGGAAGCAGTAGACCCAACAGCGACAAAGGTACCCAACTCTAGCAGCGCCACCACAGCATCTACTACCGCCTGCAATTCAATCAAAGATGGACAATTCGGCTGCGCTTCACTCGCAACATTGGCCCCAACTATCGCTCACCTGTGCCACTGTCCTAGTGGCGCCCCCTGGCGCAATCTGGCTGGCTATTTCTGGAGACACCTCGGCCAGGTCTGCATGCCACGGCGCACATCGGTACTGGTCAAGACGCATTGAATCAAGGCTGCAAACAGCACGGCATGGTTTCGCGCAGCAAACCCACCAGTCTCCAGTGCGTCCCAGCCTGCAAGACCCTGGCGAAGCAGGCGCAGCACCCCAGGTGCATCCAGTTCACACAGGTAGCGAAACGCCGGGTGTGGGGCCTGCAATGTGTCACTTGTTCAGTATGCCGGTTTTCAATGCGGCTGCCACGGCAACCATGGAAGTAGTGTTGTTAGCATGCAAGGGCCGGTGCAAGGAAGGAATGACCAAAGGGGTGAGGCTACCTGGATTTTGCGTGGCAGATGTTGCACTGTGGTAACATCCTGGCTGTGCGCCATCTCACCCCACAGCCGCCAGCAGTCCCACACTGCACCAGAAAGGCAACGGAGCATCAGTGTGCGCTGGGCCATTGAACACCAGCATGCTGGAAGCACTATTTAGGAGCGCAGCACACAGCCCAGAGATGCAGCAGATGCGTGCACAGCAGCTACGTGCGGAGGCACCTGACTCGGTGGTGCTGTACAGCAGGAATGCAAGGGCCTGTGCCTTGCTGCGCTGCTGTATCTCGGGCGATGCACGCCCTGTGCCTGCGGGGGTGCACCAGGGAGAAACAAGTTGACAAGGGGCCATGGGGCGGCTGGGGAAATGCAAAATCACTCGGTCACCAGCAAAACAGCAACGACACTTACCTGCAGGATAGCTGTACCCCAGCAGGCAGCAGCGCAGGAAGAGTAACAGCTTGTAGCCAAGGCGCAGGCTTTCATGCCGCTGCAGCAGCTGATCAGGTGCCATGTCTGCGCTTGCTGGCTCCCCAGCTCCTGCATCGCATTCCGCCTCGCCTGCCGCTGCTGCCGCCACCAGCAGGAGCGCGGCTGGGGTTTGGTGGTCTTGCAGGGCGCGGGTGAAGATGTGGATGAGCGCCGCAAAAAGACGGTGCTGGATGCACAGCGGGATCAGCTGCACATGGGGGCACAACGTCAAGATCAGCTGCCACCCTGGACACAAGCAGCATACCCCCGCTTTGCTTTCTCGTTCTTGTCCACCTGGTTGAGGTCCAGGCTGAGCAGGTCCATCTTCAGCACGCACGCCTCCACCTGCTCCGCATGCCCCGCCACCACGCAGTGTTCCACCAGCGCTTGCATGACCTGCGCAGAAGCGGGGCAGCAGGTGGCCACCAGCATTAAAGGACGTGTGTTGCCGTATAATGGCAAAAGGCGGCCAGCCTGCACGCGTACCTCTGGGGCAATGCTGGACAGCTGGTCCGTGAGGATGACGGCCAGCAACTGCTGCAGGAAGGCCCACATTGGGGTGACTGCACCTAACGCTTCTCCAGCATCTGCTGCTGCCACTGACGGCCGCTGGCTGGCACGGCTGAAGCGAGGGAAGATGCCTGACCAGAGGGCGTCTGGGCGCCGCACAAGCAGGCAGCAGTCAATTGCGGTGGCAGCAAGTTGCTGCATTGCTGCTGCTTCAGCTGACTCTCCTCCTTGGCCTTTCTGCTGGGCTAAGCCCTGATCGACATATGCATATAAGATGGTCAGCAATTGCCGCTGCACTTCGAGGGTGACAGCAGCGTGGCCGTCGGCTGGCCAGGCTGCCTGCGGCAGCTGCCACGCCTGACCAGCACCCGCCGCAGCCGCCTGGTAAATGCGCAATGCAGCGAGCAACGCCGCCGACAGATGTGTCTGCTGGCTGGCTAGAGCAGACAGGCGCTGCTGCCAGCTCATCAGTTGCACCACGCGCACACCTGAAAGATGGGCAATGCAATGGTAGCTCAAGACTCGCACATGAGGGCTATGTGAAAGGCAAAAGGAGAGCAGGCGTGGTGGCCTTGCCAACAGAACGGACCACACCTTGCGAGTTGAGCAGCAGCAGTTGATCACCAAAACCACTGACTGACTGATGGAAGCTGTTGTTGCTGCCTGACACCAGTGCCTGCAGGAGGGAGAAAAGCACTTCAGCCTGTGGGCAAGGTAGCTGAAAAGCAGCATGTTGACTGGTAGGAACAAGCCATGGCTGCAAGGCTCTCAATAAAGAGGTACAATGACTTTTGCGGTTGCAGCCTGAACCCACCTGGCTGCCCACCAACCAGTCACGCAGCACCAGGACCTCCTCCGCCTCACCACCGTCCTGGGTGTTGCCGCCAGCGTTGGGCCGCCCTGCGCTACCGTCACTGCTGTACCAGTCTGGCCGGTACACATGCACTGCAGTGGCCGTCTCGCCAAGACTGCTCAGCACCACCTGCACAACAAACACAGTGGCATATGTCTGCCACCGAGTGCCACATGCCACGCTCCACCTCCACCAAGTCAACCAGGTCAGAGCAATGCACCAGACGGGCAGATTAGTCAGGCATTGACGGACCAGGGGACCCAAGTCCATAAAGTAACAGCCGCACACGCCCGGAGCATCGATGGTGTGAGCGCTGGAGACAGCCACACCGCTGCCACTGGTAGTGGTATTGCTGCTACTGCCCGCCGGGCTCCCCGCCAGAGAGGTAACGCTGCTGCTGCCAGCTGCCGTCCAGGAGCGCAACAGCATAGGGGGGGGCAGCGGCTGGGCGAGCTGCTGTTGAGGTGGCGAACCAACAGCTGCTGCTGGCTGCTGCCACCGCTGCTGCAACAGCACTGCGTTGTAGACCGACACGCTGTGCTGCCACGCCACTGCCAGCATGACGCTCACCGAGACCCCTGCTGCTTTGGGTGCCTGCGCCCCAGGCAGCACGCTGCTGCCGGTGCTGGTGAGGCGCCAGGTGGCATACGGGCTGCAGTCCGCTGGCGTGTGTTGGGGAGGCAGGAACACATGCAGCATCTGCAGAACAAACACCGGCAGCAGTCAAGCAGACAAACAGAAGGAGAGCTGAAGTGGTCGCAGTTAAGGAGGCAAGCACCGCATACCTGCAGCCTGCCCTCTGGCGTCAATAGGCAAACCAGCACCGCGCGGGTGCAAACAACCAGCAGGAAATGGCCCACATCCTGCCAAAAGAGTGGGCAGCACAACTATCAGTTCTATCAGAACTGTGGGCTGTTGCAGGGAGGCCAACATGGCAGCTGCAGCAGTAGAGAACTCTGCCGACTTGCAGCGGAACAGCAATCCACCCTCACCGGAGTGAACATTGATGAGGCCTCGGGTAAGAACTGCTGCTGCGGGGCGCCACTGCTGCCTGCCAGCTTGCCACTGGCACCACTACCACCATGCAATGGCAACAGGGAGCACACAACTCCCGGGTCGAAGGAGGTGCCGGCAGCCGCCTGCTGTAGCGGGATGAGGTGGCTGGGCCCGCTGCCACCGCCCGTCAGACCGCCTGCAATGGCCCAAGAAACCAAAGGTTTCAAAAGCATGTGATCGCCTGGAAGCAAAGCAGCAACCTCTGTGCGGGAACAGCACAACACTTATTCCTTCTTTCACCATCAGGTTGCAATGCACACAAGCAAGAAGCAGCAGGTGTTCACGTGCAAAGCTGCTGATGGCAGACGCTGCCACAGACAGGTGCCGGCTCAGGTTGTGTGCCATTAAGCGCCCATGCGCATCGGCGGTCACCGCCCATGTGGCGCTTCCCACACTACAGTCAAACAGGGAAAACTAAATCCTTGGAAAGCAGGCATAAAGGGAAAGATCAATGGGAGACCACTGCCAAAGTCAGGACGAGAGCGCTGACGCCCGCAAAGACTGCTCACCCGTCCAGCAGCGAGGCAGCAGTGACAGCGGTGGCATGCATGCCACCCAACACCTTTGTCAGCACAAAATGCACGCCGCCTGCAGGCAAAACGAACAGGGCAAACGTGAAGCACAGAATGGTTGTAGCCTTGTCCAGTCATGGTGCAAGCATTGCCTTCCCTACCTCCCAGCTGCGTCTTCAGCTCCCATACCCGCACCGCACCGCTGGCATGGCCCACCAGCAGCAGCATGCTGCCGCCATGCTGCCCCATACATAACGCCGTCACGCTATCACGCTGCAGCTGCAATTGCTTCTCGCCCACCTCAAGCAGCCTGCAGAGGGGTCACAACAGGCAGCGTCAACCGAACCCAGTCGAAAGGGCTGCAAAAGCTGACAGAGAACAATGCGCTAGAGTGCAGCTAAACCAAATGTAACGCACCTGGGTGGCTGCTGGGGTTGTTTGCTGCCCGGCGGAGCTGCAGCCCCTGGCAGCAGCACGAAAGCAGTGCCGTTGCTGGTGCCCACCGCTGCGATGCCCAGATACTTGGCCACAGCGCAGGGGGGGCCCGCAGGCTGGGGCCCACGGAACAGCTGCACACCAATGGAGTGGGTTGCAAGCGGGATGAAAGCGGTTGCAAGCGGGGCCTGCTCAACCAGCAGCAAATGGGCTCCCTTTGAAGTGCATCTGGGACAACTCAAACTAGGCCCACCTGCTCAAAGTTGGGGGAGAGGAAGGCACGCACCGCTGCCAGCCTCCCCAGGACAGCACTCTCCGCACCGCCGCTGCCGAGCCCTGCGGACGCATCAGCTGCCTTCGCCACCTCTGGCTCCAACTGCCGGTGCAAAAAAAGCAAGGAATGTTGGTGTTTTGATCAGCAGCTCCAGGTGTCCTCAAAACAGGAAAAAGTCGGCGACGTGTGCTTGTTTGACAGCCACAGCAGGCACACTGGCAAGGATGGCGAGCATGCGGGTGGCCTTGCCTGGCTGATGATGCTGGCCAGCAGCAGGTCCTCTCGGTATGAAGCTTCCTCCTCTCCCATGCCATTGCTGCTGCCCCCGGCAACACCCCTACTGGCAGTGCCGCCTGCAGCCAGGCGTGCTTCAAGGCGCTCTGCTGCTTCCAGCAGCAGCTCTCCCAGTGGCTGCTTCTGCTGTTGCAGCTGCTGAGGTGCGGGTGTTGGGGACTCGCCATTGACTGGAACCTCACTTGGCTTTGCTGCCTGCTCAGTGGAAGGCAGTTCCGCATGTTGCTGCTCGCCTGCATGGCCGACATCGATGGACTGTGATGCCCAGGCTGCACTGCCAGTACTCGGCTGCGCGAGTATTGCAGCCACAGGCTGCTGCTGCTGCTGCTCCTGGAGAGGAGGCAGCAATGACCGCTGCCAGGATTGCCCCTCGTCGGCCGCTGCTATGTCAGAGTCGGCATCTGTCTCTGTCGACACATCTGACAGCCCTTCAGAGTCTAGCACCGGCTCTCCGCCTGCTGCCTGCTCATTAGCATCTGCTGCTGCTGGCACTTGTAGTTCTAGTACTGCTGCTGCAGGGACGCTGCTGCCTGGCAAGTCTGCTGCGGTTATGGAACGCTCGAGCTGCACTTGCACCACTGCTGCTGGGCACGCACTCTCCACCTCTGCTCTGGTCGTCACATCAGACAAGTCGCAGGACAGCTCGGCCTCTGACTGATCACCGCCAGCCTCGAGGTGTCCTGATGGTGCCCCAGTCCGCTTGCTCGCTGCTGCATACTGTGCTGGCTCTTCTTGTGCTGGAGGAAACTCAACTGCCCCAGCATTCAGCGCCGCCATTGCCTGCACATCGCCAGCATCTGAGCTGCTTCCTGCTTGCTGCGCTGCTGCAGTTGGAGCTTGCGCTGAGGAGAGAATCAGGTCGCCGAACAAGTCTCCAAAATCTGCCGCAACGGCCGCATGACATGTGCTGCCAGTAACTGCAAGCTGTGGTATGGCAGCCGTGGACCCGCCTAGTAGCAGGCCATCACCAAAGTCGCCCAGCAGGTCCAGGCCGGCTGCTTCTGCGTCTGCAGCCGCAGGCTCTGCTGCCTGGTCTGCAGCGGCGTGCTGCGCTGGTTGCTGCATAGGCTGGACCGTCGTTGCATCGTCTGGCGGCGGCACTGCGCCCTCTGCTGGCTGGTCTCCAATAGGAGCGCTGCTGGCATCGGTAGCGCTCGCTGCCAGCGGCTCTGACGCAGCTGCTGGCTGCAGTTCCAAGCTGCCGGCAACCGGCGCTGCCGCCGCTGCCAACACTCCCGCTGTGCTACTGGGCGCTGGAGGCTGGTTGGCAGCAGGCGGCACCTCTGACACGTCCTGCAGCCTCAGCGGCCGGGCCGTACACGAGCCGTGAGCACGGAAATGATCGGGGCCCAGGCGCCTTCCCGAGGCCTTGGCGGCGCAATCAAACATACGCTTACCTCGTCCTCGTCACTACTAAGCAGCTCGTCAAGCAGTCTGTCCACCGCCGAGGCCATGCCCACCCAACCGAGAGCTGGAGGCAGTCTACATGCGCTGGCGGGCGGCCAGAAAGATTTGGGATGCAACAGGGCGCTGCAAATGGGTTGCCGGGCGTTTCGGCGCGCGGAAATGCCACTCCTAGCACGCAGCAGGCACCCGCTGGATTGTCATTTTGAAAGCATTCAACCCCGCAACACCATAGCCCTGGCACCTCTTTCATCGCTGCACTGGCCCGTGGCACCAAACATTCGCGCCGCGCCACGCGAGGTTCACTCCAGTGCTCGCCCCAGCTCCCCCGCTTTGTCCCAATTGCAGCATGACTGCGCAGCCGCAGAGCGGCGGCTACAGCAGCGCTGCGCTGCTGCTGGCGGCGGGCTCCAGTGCACTAGCTGGCCTCGCGCTCGGCTACACCCTAGCTCGCCGCGAGCTGGGAGCAGGCAAAGGGAGCAGGGGACGAGGCGGGCGGTACTCCCCCAGCAAGCTGCTCTACGGCGCTCGCCTCCAGGCCGCCGACAGCAGTGCCGACTCCACCCCAGGTTCGCATTGCAGACTGACTGACTGGTCGCTCCTGCTATGTGTATACCATGCCCACAAACCGGCCTTGCCTCCTTTCCCAAGCCCCCAATCCCTTGACGTCCCCGCAACCGCACCCGCCTCTGCTGCAGCGGCCACTCCTCGGAGCCTGTCCCGACAGGACAGCGCGCTGGGGTCGGGCCTGCGCATGGTGCTGCTCGTGCGGACAGATATGCCGCTGAGCCGGCCCGAGTTGGCGCAGCAAGCGGCTCGCACGGTGCTTGGGCTGTTCAAGAAGCAGTTCAAGCGCAAAGACCCAGCCCTGCGGCCCTGGGAGGAGGGCGGCAACCACATAAAGGTGCGTGGCCGTGTTTTTGCAGAATGCACCAGCGCATCACCCCTCACAAACGGATGACACTTACATGTTGTCCTCGTGGTTAAGACCAATCCACTGGCACTTTTGCTGCTGTGAACTCATAGCCTGTTTCACGTCGCGCCACCTCCCCTCGCCAACCGCTGCCGCAGGTGCTGGGCGTGGACTCCCAGAACGACATGCTGCTGCAGCAGGCGGCAGCCCGCGCTTTGAGTTTGGCAACTCACACATTCGCTGGAGACCGGATTAACAAGCAGCGAACGGTGATGGCGATAGGACCAGCTCCTCCTGACATTCTGGAGCACATCACGGGGCACCTGCGGGAGCTGGCCGGGTGAGGATGGCCTGGAGGTCACACAGCCTATATTGCCGCATGTCTTGATGTTGGCAAGGCAGCGACCATGATGCCGCACGCAGACCTACCACCTTCCAGGCTGGTCGGCCAGGTTTCAAAGCCTGCTTCCCTGGCATCTCGCCCTCCTGCTTGTTCATCTTTGTGACAGGTGACTTGCCCCACCATGCTGTTGCCCCCAACGTTTGATGTACCACCTTCTTTTTACTCTCCCTGTAATGTATCAAGACCAGAGTGAATTATTGCAGACCGCTGCGAGCATTGTGATCTGAGGGGGTCCCCCAGCTGACACCCCACCAGGCTCGCTGTGGAACAGGGCGTGCTGACTGCCGACCAACAGAACCTGCTTGCGCTGCAGCAGAGGCTGCTTGCCCTCTTCTGGCTCCGAACAAAGGCACTGCCGAGCTTAAGGAGGCAGAGGCACTGTCAACACAAATGCCAGCCAGGGATGGAGGCCCATCAAATCAGGCATATATACTTGGCCTGGTGCTCAATTAATTGATCAAAAACGCAGATAAATGAATAGAGTCACCAATCAAGACATCGATGGCACTACAGAAGGGCTGGGGCTGCTGCTGCGCATAAAGAGACCAGACATGGCATGCCGCACTTGCTGCAGCAGCTCCACAGCTCGGTTTTTAGCCACCGCCACCATCACCGAGGCAGTGAACAGCAGCAGCGACAAGATGCTCTGCGGGGGGCTGCGCAGAACTTTGCCCAACGAGCTCCTGCAGCAGCAACCATAGGTGCAAGTCATCTTCAACATCCATACAGGCATGGGCGGCTTGCCCTGAGCCCAGCTGCACACAGGAGAGAACGGCAAAAAACTGCTCCATACCTGAACAACAGGAAGAGCCGCTTGCGCTGCGCTCGTGCCGCTGCGCTGGGGTCGGTGAGGCGGGATGCTGCATTGCTGCTGCCAAGCGCCTCTACTAGCAGCTGCAAGAGGGCAGTGCAGGGTAGGAAGGCGGGGGCGTGACAGTCAGTGATACAAAACCTCCAGCCCTCACGCAGTGTCGGCGAGCAACTTGGCAGGTTCCTAGCAGCAGAGTGCTCACATCTTTCAGCTGCTGCCTCATCGCAGGCGGCATGCTCGAGATGGTCTTGGCTGGGTTGGCATCCATGGCGATGCGCCGCAGCGGTGCATTGCGCCCATCCAGCAGCAGCGCCGCCAGGTCCAACCCTGCATCTGCAGCCGCTGCGGGGTCTGCCGCTGCCTGTGCTGCTGGGCCCGCCATGGCCAGGCTGCCCACCAGGCTGGCGCTGCGGCCACCGCTACCGCCTGCCGCCATGGTGTCGCCGGTGGCGACTGCCGCTGCCTGGTCTGCCGCTGCTAGCCACACCTGCAGCAAAGGGTGGCGCGCGGCTGCCGCTGGTCCATGCGGCATGCCACCCGGGTTCCATGGCCACATGCAACATTCGATGACAGCACCCCCAAGCATAAGGCAGCAGGATGGGCAGCAGCAGGTGGAGCCCCTTGCCTGCAGGATCTGCTGGGTGGTGGCATCGCTGCGAAGCGTGCCATCAGCGTTCAGCAGCAGCTCTCGCAGCAGCGCTTGTGCTGCCGGCCGCCGGTCGGATAGCAGCTGGTTGAGCACCACCGGCATGCCTGCATCAGGAGCAGGGGCCAGAAGGGGGCGCACCGTCAGAGAAAGGGCAATCAGCTGTGGCCCCATGCTCCTCCTAGCACATGGCTGCACCAGTCAAGCACCAGGTCCACCTGGTCAACTCCCTCGCGACTCACCAGCCGAGATGAGCTTGAAGTTGCGGTCCACTGACAGTGCCACACCCTCCAAGCTGGACACCGCGCGCAGCACCAGCGGAAAGTAGGAGGGCAGCAAGAACCTGCAGGACAGAGAGGGGCAGGTCAGAAGGGTCGTGCGCCTGCCATGGAAGATGGAACGCTGAGGAGCAATGGTGCAAGATGCAAGCAGCTTGCTGGCAGCAGCCATGCCCTCGAGAGCGCAGTGGTAGCACCACACTCCCACCGGCCAAGGCCGCGCCAGGCAGCTAACTTGCTCACTTGTATCGGAATGCGATCCGAAACAGCACCTGGGTGAGTGTGCTGAAGCTGAGTGCGGTAGTGGTTAGGCTGAGCAGCGGCAGCACGCTCTGCAGCTGTGGTTCAGCAAGGTCTGCAGCTACAGGTTCAGCGTCATCCAGGTCGATGCTGCCGGTAATGCTGGCGAGGACGCTGCCCATTATGCTTCCTGTGGCCCCGCCGCTCATGCTGGACTTGGCTTCAGCCTCTGCCATCACCGCAGTAAACTCGCGGCGCAGATCAATCGCCAGCTGGTCCCTGCAGGCCAGCGGGGATGATGACTCGGCGATAAGGCAGAGGGAGACAGGCTTGACCTCTGTTGACCTGACGCTGTAGCCATTTCTACAGCACTCACTTGTCGGTTCCTTCCCGCAGCAGGTCAAGCGCTTCCATGTCCGCCACCAGCCGCTCCCACTCGCCCAGCCCCAGGTGCACCAGCGCAGACTGCGGCATTAAGCAGCGCCGTGGCAGCATGCATGCAGGTGATGGGTGGGTGCGAGCCGGGCGCACGTGCATGCAATCTCAAAGGCAGAGGGCTCTCCATCGCCGCCCCTGTTGACTGAACACCAGCTGCCACGCATCCGAATAACGTCACCGCGGCAAGCCACACCATTCCGAGGCGATGCATGCCTGACAGGCCCCTCCAACCTGCCTCCCTGACTCACAGGCCTGCCCCACCCCACTACACACCATCATGGCCTGGCGGTGCTCTGGCGTGACCCGTACCACAAGTCCAAAATCGAGATAACACAGCTTGCCATCCGCCGAGCGCAGCAGCAGGTTGCCGCTGTGGGGGTCGCCGTGCATCACGCCCGTCACCAGCAGCTGCACGTTGCAGGCGGCACTCTGTAAAAGACGCAACCGGTGCCTTGCAAAAACACTACAGTCCGCCGCACCTGGGCCAGTGAGCACTGCACGCCCATGCGCACGAGGTTGAGGATTTGGCGCCGCGACTGCCGCTGCTGCTCCTTCTCCTCCAACGCTGCCACATCATCACGACCCCTGTCCTGCTTCATCAGCGGCGCCTGGGCTGCAGCCAGCAGCTGCGAGGGACTGCGACCATCAACCCACTCTGAAACCAGCACGTGCCGCGTGGTGTAGCGGTACATCGTGCCCGGCACTGCAGGTTGGGGCGCGGATGGAGCACGAAGCGGCGGTTGATTTTGTTGACGCAAAGCTCAGCTGGCACGCACCACACCAAGTGATGCAGGACGCGCAGTGAGTGCTGAAACCTGGTCCCCCCCCCGGGCTGGCCAGCCCACCCACCCGAGATGAAGGGCATGTGGGAGTGCGCCCTCCGGAACTCTGCTGCATTGGATGCCTCAATCCGGAAGTCCAGCTCCTCGTACAGCGACCGTCCTACCTCGTCTGCCAGCACGCTGCAGGCGATTGGTGACAGGGTGGCATGGAGGGGCAAGGCGCAGCAGGGAGGGAGACATGTCAAAAGACAGCGCCGCCCCAACCACGCATGCCACCAACCCAGCAGCCAGCCAATGCTGTAAGGTCCCAGGGGTGCGCAGCCTGCCTGCGCGCCCTTCGCAGGCAAACTCACCGCAGGTCGCGGCGAATGCCGGCCGCCTTCTGCAATACACCAATGGTCTGGCGCAGCATGTAGACATCCAGGGCAATGGTGCGCTCGATGCCCGGCCGCTGCACCTTGACTGCCACCTCCTGCCCGTCTGCCGCCAGCGTGGCGCGGTACACCTACGATACAGGCAGACTGGTGCCGCTTCACACCTCTGATGCAAGCTTCAGATGCCCCCATACCCCATCCCACGATCCCGCGCATGCAGACGGTGGCTATGGAAACGCTGCCGGCACAAGCGCACCTGTCCCAGCGAGGCGGAGGCAATGGGCTGCGGGGTGATGTATGAGAAAATGGCGTCGGGCGGGGCTCCCAGCTCCTGTTCCAGAATGCTCATGGCAGTGCGAGAGTCGAAGGGCGCCACATTGTCTTGCAGCTGCGCCAGCGCCGCCGCGTAGCCCTCGCCAATCAGGTCGGGGCGCATGCTGCAGTGGGAGGAGGGGCAGAAGAGTGATACAGCGCCGCAGTGATTGGGCGAGGAGGGCAGCAGCAGCAACAGCAGAAGCAGGTTGGGGTTCTGTTGCAGGTTGCAGGCTTGCCGACCGCGCATGAGCATGCAGGCTTGCTGCATCGTGCGGTGCTGCACCACCCACCCTGTCTCACCTCAGGGTTTGTGCCAGCTTCACAAAGGTGGGCCCCAGCTTGACAGCCAGCTGCTGCAGCACAAGCTCTGGTGCAGCTGCCTGCGAGGTGAACAGGCAAATCGGCATACATGGGGCTGATGAGAACGCAGCTGCCATCCAACAACATTGCACTCCACAAGGCATGTCCCAGGTCGCCCTGTAGCCGACATCGAGGCAGCATGAAGTTCAACAAAGCAGCATCCACTGGCGAGGCATTTTTGCGCGTGGAAGCAGCCAGCTCACCCCAGGCTCGGGACGCACACCAAGCACGGCGGCATCCACTTGAGCGGCCACCAGTGCGCTGGCAAACTGCATCAAGTAGGCCCCCACTTTGGCCACCCGACGCGCCAGCAGCAGCGGGTGCTTCTTGAAGTAGTCTTCCGCGGCAGCAGGGTCGTAGACGACGGTCGGCAGCAGCTGCTGCGCCCGCCGCTGCGCGGCTGCGCCAGGCGGGGAGGGCACACGACCACGCAGGGCTGCCACATCGAGGGCAGCCGAGGCTGAAGGGTTCTGCTCACCCCGAGCTGCCACCCCAACAAGCTGCTGCTCGTCCTCCGCTGTCGTCGCCGCCGCTGTCGTGGGCGTTTGACTGGCTCTCACCGCCTGCACCACAGGCAGTGCGGGGGGGGTCACTTTGCATTCAGTGGCTGCTACAGCGCACACTGCACGGGCGGGGGAGCAACGAGCACCGGGGAGCAGCAACTTTTTGCAATGCACCAGGCACCCCGCGCCTGCGGGCCCCGCGTGGCCAGCGTCGGCAGCGCGATCACATATCGGCGTGCTAGCTTGAAGGACGGTCTCGCTGCTCGCGCGGACAGGGCAGAGGCCGGCACCCCCGGGCAAGCAGAGGGCCCCTCCATTCTTGCGGCCTCCCCGCCCGTAGTTTATGATCGAGTATGTGTGGACACATCGTCCACCGCGTGGCGGCGACCCATGGCCCCCAGCTCAGCACGCCGCAGCATGCCGCCGCCGCCACCGAGCCCAACAGAGGTGTGGGGAGCAACGGTCGTCGAGCTGCAATGGCAGCATCCCATCCCAATGACCTAGGTGTCCCCTGCCACCACCATAACGAGTCGTGCACGGCTGCCGTTGACGTCACCCGTCTGCCCCTTCAGAAGAAACTCCATTGCAACTCACAAGTGAAGTATTGGTCACATTGCTTGGTTGCTTGGGCAGGTAATTATCAACAAAAGTTATGTCAGCTGCATGCCTTGTTCGCGTCACGCGCGCCAGGCTGCATTCGCCGATGCTGCTGCAGAAGCGCCAGCCCCCAACTTCATTCCAAGGCGCCATGGTGCTCTGCCACTACCTTCACGAGTTCGGGCAACACATGCTTGGTGTTGCCTAGCGCTGGGCAGCGCACAAACAGGTCTGCTGCTTGCGATGCGGTCCGCGCCACGCGGTCGCCCATCAGCTCTGCGAACAGTATCGCCGCTCGCTCCTCCGCAGGAAATGAGAACATTGCAGGGCAATGCTGCAGCAGACGGCCCACCGCGACAGAGTCCAGGCCCAGAGCCTGCTGGCAATGGGTAGCGGCAAGAGCACAGGGACACCAGGGTGCGGCGGTCAATGGACAGCAGCTGCGTTCCAACATGCACAAGACGAGGACAGTGTTGCTCCATCACCTGCAGGTGTTGGACGACGCCCTCGATATGTTGCAGCAGCTCGTGCTGCCGCGCCACTGGAAGCTTGAACACATTGTGCTTAAAACAACGGGTGTCCAGGACGCCATACTCCGAGCTCAGCTCTTCCAGCTGCTCTCCAGATGGGCCAGCCGACCGGTGGTGCCGCTCATGGAGGTGGGGGTGGCCATGGCCATGCCGCTGTGCATGGTGCCGGCGGTGCACGGGCGCCTCGTGTGGCCGGTGGCGGTCAATGTATTCATGTGCGGCGTTGGCATCAGTGCTATAGCAGGGTGCTCTGGGCGTGGCGCCGGCAGCAGCGGTGGCGGCGGGCGCAGAGGAAGTCGCTTGCAGCCCAAACCCTGCGGCTCCTTGCACCCCACTGGCTGCCACGGCAGTGTTGCGCAGGAGCCACCCCCCTGCGGCTGCTGCTGTGAATGTCTTGCGCAGCATCGCCATCTCTGCAGCAGGCGGTGGCAGGCCTCTCTTCCAGCTGCCAGAGAGTGGGACACGTAACGGGTTGAGTTCTGTGGAGTCAGTAAAAAGAATCGAATGCCAGCTCACCCCACGCCCAACAGCCAAGCATTGTTTCAGCAATGCAGCTGCAATGCGCACATCGCCCTGGCTCGCACAGCCCTGCCGGGCAGCAGTCGCACAAGACCTTCAGCGGCACCTTGCTACGGGCCTGCAGCCCGCAAGAGTCTTGCCCGTCAGATGGGCAGCGCGTCGGCCAGGGGTTGGCACTACACATGCCTGGTCCTTCTTGGCGGTGGGCGGGCGGCCACCACTCCCTCCTGTTCCCCAGACACTTTGCAGCTATGCCTGCTGCCTGCGGCGCTCTGTCATCTGGGGCTCAAGCAGTTTTACATCCGCAACCGCAGCCACCTGCTATTGATTCAGTGAGTGATGAAAGGGTTATCCATGCATGTTATCCACCGCTGACTGCTTCAGCTCGCGTTCACTCCAACCCATGCTGGCCCCTGTCCCTGCTCCAGCTTCTGCTACCATTACTCTGTGGGAGGGCAGTTGGCCCAAGTAGTGCGCCTTCACATGGAACTGAGTAGCGACTCAGCGCCCAGCTTCCTGGCCAGCTTTGGGCTGAGCAGCACAGTGTTGTGGCAATGCGCTAATGCAAGTCGCTTGGGATGGGATGATGGATGTGGACCTGCCATGCTGACATATATACTGGGTTCTGCCACCGCTTCAGAAGCAGGTGAAGCATGCTGACTGGTCACGTGCCTGGTCCTATGCGTATCTGCAGGTATCGCATGCGCTTCCACCGTTTCGTGGGCTTCAAGCCCCTCATCCTCCTGGTGGTGCTGCCAATGGAGCTGCAACTGTGCGAACTGGGACATGCGAGACAATGCCCACCCAGCACCACTGCTTTGGCAGGGCGGCAGGCATGCTGCGCCTGGCGCTGTCCCCCGTCCGCGCTGGCCCTGGGTGCTGGCAGCGTCGACTGTGAGTACCAATTGCTCGCCCTGCTCAACCCTCCTGACTGCATCACAGTAGCTATCGAATCCACTGTGATCCTGCACCCTGCCCGCCTGCCTGCAGTCCCCAGTGCGAGCTGCTTCAAGGTGCAGGTGTTTCTTCTAGTGTTCCTGGCTTGGCTGCTGCCAGCCATCGTGCTGCGCTCGCTGGAGGCACAGGTGCGTGCTTGTTTGTGAGCAGCCGCCTTGTGTTCAGCTGGCTTCGGTGGAAGTGCAGTTCATGTCGCTGGGTCTGTGTTTTTCAATGTTGCGACGACGATATGTGGCTGGCTCCGGTATTCTGCTCTTGCTGCAGATGATGGGCAAGTTTACCAAGGAGCAGGCGCTGCTGGTGGACCTGGCAGCCGAGGCCAGCCAGCTCTTGCAGCGGCAACGAGCAATGTGTGCGTGGGCGCCTCCAGCTTTGGCAGCACCTTCAGCTGAAGGCATCGCAGCAGGGCCCGCCAATGGAGCAGGGCCTTGCTGATTCTGAATGAATCCCAATGCTGGCCTTGGTGCGCCAGCAATGCTCATAGCACTGTGCGGGCATCTCAATTGTGGTGAACTGGCAGGGCGCTACACCAAAGTATGCGTTTCCACAATCGACTCTTATTTTCTATTCTATCCATTCTTTGCAGAGCCCCTTACAGTCACCCCCCTGTTTACGCATGCTTCCCATTTTTTAATGCCGTCAGTCGGTTTGGCTCGTCTTTGGTGCCCCTCGTGGGTCATGCTCAAGGGAAGACCTCTCAGCAGACCTGCCATAATCTGAGAGCCAGCCTCTTATGCTTTCATGGTGCCCATCTCCAGGTCACCCATGGGCGCAGAAGTGGGGCCTGCAGCAGCGCCGCTGCTGCTGCTGCTGGCTCGCGGCGCTCCCGAAGCAGGGACTGAGTCCATCTCCTCTTCTGCAGATTCGTAGCCGGCCTCCTGTGTTGCTGTGGCTCGTGCTTGGATAACCTGCATGGCAGAGGCAAGGGCTCAGACAGTTGCATGTGTCGTGATTTCACAGCCCTCGGAGAGAAGTCAACTTAAGGTGTGTGTGCCCCACAAACACCTCTAGTTCCTCGCTCTGCTCGCCGGTGGCCAGGAAATGCAGCATGGTGTCAGCCTCCAGCAAAAAGGCCTCAAACTCTGCAGCACTCAGCTTGAATGCCGGGCTAAGGTAACGCTGCACAGGGGAAAGGGGGCGATGGGTGACCGGCGGGGACAAGGGCGGCAGCGGCCTTGCATGCAGCAGTCCATGCAGCAGCAGCATTTTCCAGTTTCGCACAGCCACTTGACAGCAATAATCAGGTAAATGCATGCGAGCTACAATGAGGAAGAAATGGGCCAGCAGATAGCGACCTGGGAAGCGTCTGTCTGCTGCGCCTCCACATCATTGCCCGGGCCACGCCGGCTGCCCCGACCCTCATCGGCCTCTCTGTCCTGATCATCCAGCCGCCCCGCATCTTCCAATGCCAGCGTCTGTGCCCCACCAAGGAGAGTGCCCAGAAGCAAGTTTGGGGGGCATGCTTGGCCAGCTCGGCAGGTGGCACAGCTCAACATGCGACCCATGCAAGGTGCCACATGACGATGCACGCACCATCTGCGGTCTCCAGAACAGCTTGTGACTGGACCACCAGAAGAAAGCCGTCAATGGGAGCAGAGGCAGGACAACCAGGGGTGGCGCCACCATCTGCTTGATGCCTGCACCAGGCATGAAGCACGCCGCGAGGCAAACCCACTGCGTGTCACAATATGAGCGGGCTGCCGTCGAATGCGCCTGTGCTGTGTGATGCGTGTTTGATGGGAACTCACCCATGATGCCGACCATCACAAGTTGGAAGAGCATGAGGGAGAAGCAGATTTGGTCAAACACCCGGGTCCAGGCCTGCAAGAACATGTAAAATAGATGAAGGTGGGTCCAGTAGCAGCCCAGGCTGAGGCCACTCATGCCTGAGCACTTCAATACCCCCATTGCCGCCCTCTTGCCTGGCCGCCGCTTTGGTAGGCCTCTGTTTTCACGAACACTAGCTGATATTTCCAAACAACAAAGGTGATGGAAAAATATGCCAGACAGACGGGAGCTATCAGGGGGCAGATAATGCAGAAGACCAGGCCCAGAAGAATCGCAATGGTGTCATCTGCAACATGGGGATAAACAAGCAGGCACAGCACAAGCGATGCACTACGCGAGCGCTTTCATCAACAGGCACGCAAGACGGTGGGGCAGTCAGCGTACAGCTACCCTACCGGGAATGAGGGAGCCGTACGTCTGAGGCTGGTCCTGCCACACTCGGGCCTTTGCGCGCTCTGTGGGGGCAAACCTGCTACAACCGGAAAGCCGGACGAAGCTGTGTGGCTTGCCCAGGCATTGCCTCAAGATGACAACGTATCATCGCTGTGCCCCCCCCCCCCCTCACTTGGTTCGTATCCAGAAGATGACAAGGCCAAACAGGCGCAGCAGCGACAGCGGCTTGGCCAGCAGCCCCTGAAGCATGAGGTACGTAGTGAAGCTGCGGCGCAGGGGCGACCAGTAGGGGCGAGATTTATCCGGCCGTCCCCTGGCCTCCGCTGCTGTGCATCTGCTTCCTGCACTTACAAGATGGCAGTTTGCGGTGCCGCAGTGCCCAGCACGGTCACGATGCTGCCTGGATCTTGGGCAAACTGTTTGATTTGATTCGCAAAGCTGCCCGCAATGAAGGAGCCGAAGAAAACAGTCAGCACCTGCAGCAAAAGACGCTTGCTTGTGTGGGCTTAAAGTCTGGTAAAGCAAGAACTAGCTTGCAACATAGACTCCCCGCCGAAACGGGACGGGAACCGGGCGAAAGCAGAGAAAGCAATAAAACAGGGGTGGAGCAAGGCGACATGCAACGCAAGCAGCTGACAGGGCACGCATCGAAACGTGTGTATGACTGGCAAAGTGGCATGGCGCATTGGGGAGAAACGCAACGGTACGGGAGCATGGGCTGGCCAAACGGCAGTGCGTAACGCTAGGTCACTAGAAAAGCAGGGAAAGGCGCACTATGTATGCAATGAGGGCAGCCCCGGCTCGAGGCCGTTGAGAAAGCAGTGGGCGGGAGGGGGGAGGCCCCGGTGTGGGCGGGCCCCATCGAGGGGGGATGGGGCGCGCAAGCGGCCAGATGGGGCGGGGCGCGGGCGGCAGTAGAGTCCTGCGGCTGGGTGGGATATAGGGCAATGAGCGTTGAGCAGTGTGCGATGAGCAATGAGCAATGAGCAGTGAGCAGCCCCTCCCGAAACAAAGTGAAGCGCAGGACGGGGTCCGGTGGATGGGAGGCAAGGAAGCGCGGGGGTTGCCACGTGCGCTACCGCCGCCGCCGCAGGGGTGCTGCCTGCGGCGGCGGCAGCGGCA